GGTTTGTACCTTGCCTCGAATTTGCACCAGGCCTTGACCTGTTGCCCTTCCAACAGCACATGTTGGTAGATACGTTGTTAGCTGAATTTGACAAAATCCACATGAACTGCCCTTTTCTCCAAATTCCAGAGAGCAACTACGAGCGTGCCTGGTGAGTTGCTGTATGGGTGTGCCCAGAAACTGCAAAGCAAGTTCTACCCCTGCCTCGTTGAACTCATTTTGGCAAAAGACTTTCTCTTGAAATTCAAAAAAAGGATAGAGAAGTACCTGGGTAGATGCCTTGTGAACATTTGCGAGTCGCCGCCGAAGAGAAAGCACATTCCCGATCTGCGCAGAATATAGTGAGAGTTGTGCTGGGCATAAGAAACAAGGAGAGTGCTTTGGCTTTGCTCAAAGCTTGGTTCAATATTTAGGACCTTAACAAAAAAATGAGCGTGCTAAGAACTTAGCAAACTGCGAAGATCATGAACAAACACAATCGCTATCAGCTATAGATACATCCCATCTCCTTCACTCCGTCCGCACTAAGTAATTTTAAAATTATTCCGTTCGAAGGATAGGGACAGTACGAAAGCTCGTAAGACAAAGAGCTTGATAATCCAACTGTCTGCATAATATAATAACAAGCACAAAGATGTTCATAAAAATGGCTAATAAAAGAGGTATAACAAAATGCAGAGTGAGCTACTATCCACAAAGTCATATTTCGCAACCATGCTTTGAACATTTTTCGCGAGGCTGCACCAATACTTTAGAAGACAGGAAACAATTACGTTCCGAGTAATTTGGAGACATGACCAATCACGCTCCTGGGCTGCAGAACCTCCTTTTGATCCATTACAGTATCTACGGCATTCACAAGAGATCACACAGGCAGATGGAGATGCGCCGACACATCTCTACAACAAGGTCAATGAAGTTTCATGTATGATTCCGGCTTACAGCGAGGATCTAGCCTGAATCAACAAACCAGAAACTTACCACGGCGGCGGCGATGAAACCAGCGACCAAGGCCGAACCCCAGCCCGCAACAGCCTTGTCGGCAACCGGCTTCGAGTGCCGGCGACGACGCTCATCATCTTGCCCTTCCTCCATCGTCATGGCGTAGATGAACAATAGTCTCCTCAACGAACTCCGACGAATTCTATCACAGCTTCAAAGTCAGACAAACCTACAACCCAAAGATAACCAGATTCCGTCTTTCGAAGCTCTACAGCGATCAGAAGCTAAGTTCACAATCATCATCCTTCGGCAGAAAATGACCACCACTCTGCCACCGAATGCAGAATGCGACGATGCAATCCACTCGACGAGCTGTACAAACGCTCTGCTCTTCGCATTGCTGGTTGATCCTTCGGCCAGAGCGCCGGGTCGCGACCGGATTCTCATTCAAACGTAGCCAATACTGCTCTGCGTACAAGGCGCACTCCCGTCCCGCGCCCGTCTTGGCGCAAACGGAAACGCTCTTCAAGACACGTGTCCTTCGGCAAGCCAAGAAGTCACTGCCTCGAGGTGCTGTGTTGCTACAATCCTTGGCCTTGGGGCAACACAACAGACAAGGAACTGCTACGGTACAGCCCTCCGGTCATCCGGATTCAGACTCATTTCAGGAGTGGAACCGTGAAGCCTCTGATTGATGTTGTTGAGACGGTGTCCTGTTTTATTCCGAATTTGCGAAGCTTGATGTACTTTCATGACTTCTGATTCTGTCTTCTTGATATATAATAGTTACAAGTACTGTATTGAATTTCATGATTCAATTCGGCTTCTTTTACTTTAGTTTTCTATAATCAATATCTTTTTTATGATTTTTCAAACTCAATAGTTTTTATATGATATGTTTTACATTTAGATACTTTCACGTTCGATATATATAAGTTGTATGTCTTTCTTGGTTGATGAGGTATTTTCAATCGTTTTATTTATGTACATGGTCCCCCACCTCTTTTCAATTTCTCATCTTGTCTATTTTCAATTTCTTGTGTTAATAATTCAAAATCATTCAGCACTTATGGTTCAAATGATTCGAAACCTTAAAGGAATCTAAGTTTATCAATTTCATTATACTCTCTTCGTTGTTCATTACATCATGGTATTTGAAATTTAGAATCTTCATTTATTGAAATATCTTTCTTTCTTATATCTCAAATTTTATAGATATTTATAAATATGTCAATCATTTCATGAATATCATCGAATGAAAGGAATTAAAAAAATGTTCAATATGTCTTCATTGATCATCAAATTTGGTATCAAATTATCTTAAATATGATAAAGTAAGATAACAAAAATCTTGATAAAAATATTCCAACCAACATTGAATCAATTTGATATTTTTATCATATAAATTATGATAAAAGGATCAATTTCATTATGTTTATAAATTTTTAATCTTATATATATATATATATATATATATATATATATAGTGAATGTATTCAATTTCTTTCATTACTGCATCATCCAATCAATTGAAACATAAAAATCACAATCCAACTCAAATAGCTACAAAGTCACCAAATAAGTAAGCAAAACTTTGAGTTTTTTTTTGTTTTACAATTTTGTACTTATTAAAGATATGAATAATAATTTCAATAAGATTTATAAAATTTAAATATTAATTATTTAGAGTAATATAATATTGCAAGATATTATATCTTGCAATTTTGATTACTTTATTGAGAAAAATATTTATTTGAGAAAAAAAAATGATGATTTGATGCTAATAAATAGACTAATGAAATTTTGATTTATATTGAACATAAGCCTACTTAGGTTAAGCATGCAATATCACCTACTCTACAAATTTGAATCATTGAAATTTTCATTTTAAAACTATCAAATACATTCAAGAATTTTATATTCCAGAATCAATAAGTTTAAATTTTTAAACTTGTTATTTAAATTATATTTTACGTAAAATGGAAATCAATACGAATAGAATTTCTTATCAAAAAAATTAGATAGCTAGTATGAAAAAATTTAAGCAATAGTGATAATTATCACAATGTTTTGAAAAAAATCATTTTTTATTTTATTTTTGATAAATTAAAATTTTCATGTCTCCTACTATCTATTGTGAATTTTGATGTTTTGCACGTAGCTTTTTTTTAATCTGGTAAAAAACGGAGAGTTCTTTTTATAACACATATTGTACTTATCCGATACTTTGTAAAGATAGAAAATGAATATAACTATGGAGATATTTTGCTTCTAATCAATGCAATAGCATCAGTTAGATACATAAATAATTCTGTTTTATTACTTAATTTGAAATATTTGATAATCAGTCAAATATTCTTGCAAAAATAATTTTTTTGAATCATATGTAAGAAACATGATGACTTGTTGGAAATTAGATTTCCATGATCTTCTATTTTTTTTGCCCAATAGTCATTCTTGATATTTACAACTTATTGTGATGCATCTATTGTTTCCACAATATATAAAACATAGTATTTAATAAAAAAAATTGCCAAGTAATTTCATAAGATAAAATTTTATGGATATTGTCTCTATCATGGATTTGATTCTTTAACTTGTATCAGTGGTTTTTTTCAAAATTTGTTGATTTGACTTGTTCTATCGTTACTTGTGGTTTTGGGTTGTATTGTGTTTTTCAGTCTTTTAACCCTTTGGGTCCCTGGGGCTTGGTCTATTACCATTTATAAATCTATGTTTTCATGCAGGATCAATAATTGTGATAAGTTGAAACTGATAAAAAGTAATTTATACTTAACTTGAATGAATATAACATGTTTCAAATTCATGGGTCACAAGATAATTGTGTATGATTGCATGAGGGATGTATCCATTACTATCCTAGAAGATGGAAATGTCAAACAAAGGAAGTGTTTGTATAGTTTGAAGTCAATTAGACATAGTGTAATCTTGAATCAACTACTTGTTGACATGTATTTGATTCACGGATATCATGTCAGTATTCCAAATATGATTATTATGGGTCATTCACTTGACTCAGTTTCTCTCAGATGAGTCGCAAATGTAACTGGAACATCCAAGATCTTGAAATATAAGATTTTGTAGAGTGTTCACCACTTTGTTACTTTGATATCGACGTTATGTACATCTATGCATAACGATTTCAACAAAGTAGTGACAGACTTCTATAAAACATAAACAGCATTGTTATCGTCCTCTTTACCTTGTAGACCATTTAAGTCGATATATCTCCGTATACAATCACAATTTATAGAATATAGAAGAAAGCAATCATATCAGATAATGTGCCTTTAATATGTGATTATTATTTATAGACTGTTTGAAGTTTAGTTTGGTTTCATCCTGGTGACGCTTTATGGGATATTTACTTCACTTTGGATTTTACAGGAGTCCAATGTAAAGTTCAGTGTGAACTGCCGAGAGAGGGAAAAGCAAAATTACCGGAATCACCTTCTCGTGTAGACAGATCACGGTACAAGCGATACGTGTCAGAGGGGAGACATGCTCAGGTGGAGCTGGCGTCCTAGGTGGCAGCCGGACGCTGGTATAGCTCAACTGGTGCGAATGGGGCTCGGACAAAAGGACAGGCGAAAACGATAAACGTTGCTGGCTACGCAATCGTCGCAAGTTGACATTCCGATGACCGCGTAGCTGCCGGAACGAAGGCAGAGGTGGAGACTCGGTGAGGACTGTACAGTCCACAAGCGGAAGCGGCAGGCAGTTGGCAGTCCGTAGTTGGCCCACGTGGTACCTCGCCGAAGTGGAAAGTGAGTTATTCGGTCCTCTGGCCGAACAGCCAGCCAGGCTGCCCGGCCGTCTTTTGCCTCGGGTTCGAATTTACCAGGGCCGAGTCTCCGGCCGGACCCGGCCAGAGCAGAGTCACCGGGACGAGCGCGGGTGCTGGTGGCAGGCGGAGGAGAAGGCCGGGCCACGAGCCGAAACGCCGAAAGTGCTATCCGGTGTAGCGCCATGTTCTGCTTTTGCTGCATTGGGGAAAGCTCGAATTGCATAATGCGGGTTTAAAATACAGGAAAGGAAAAGGACTGTGCGACAGAGCGAGGCAGGGGCAGAGAGTTAGTGAGGTAAGGACAGGAGGGAGGCAGTGAGTGTGCTCTCTCGCTCTCGTCCGTGTCTGTCTGCGTGCGGTGAGTCCGGGCCCTCACCTTGTACTGGAATCAGCAACGCCCCTGGTGTCTTCGCCCCCACTCCCTCCTTGGCTTGCATGATCTACTTGCTCGCCCAGTGCTGCTGCTGCTCCTCCCACTTTCACTTCTTCCTTCTCTCGTCCCCCTCCTGCTCGTCTCACCCCCCCCGCCCCGTCTTCTCTGCGCTGATCTGATCGACGATCCACTTTGTTTTCGGCCCATTTTATATCCGGAGTTCGGACTTGTGAAGGTGAAAGTGAATGAGAAGGGAGGGACTAGGGTAATCATGTCGTCGACTCTGGCCTAGAGCAGAGGGAGAAATCGTCGTCCTAGAGCTGTTGCAATTTTCTAGTCACTGTTGTCGTAGGGGTCGAGAAGGCAATTGGGAGTTTAGATCGTGCGAGGCCGTGCTTTCCTGCGTTTGTGAGGTTAGGTGAGAATCGGAGAATCTGCAAATCGTTGATGATGTAAAAGTGGAAAAGACAGGAAGGAAGAAAGAACGGGAGGGTTTTGAGGAAGGCGAGGAGGCGACCATTTTGATGCGCGAGTGGATTTGAGGACAATTCCGGTCAAAGAATCGGCGCGTGGCTGGCACTTCTACCTTGAGGTGAATGCCGGACAGTGTGCCATCGAGAACTATCATTGCCCTGTCGATCTGTTATTCTCGTGGTTTCGGGGAGTCGTGAACTTCTTGCTGATTTGAGTGTGTGATCTGTTTGCAGCAGCAGCCTAACCACATTTCTCCCTTTTGATATGGTTTCCCGAAGTCCCTCGACGAGAGGCTCATTCAAAATGCCCTCGTTCAACGACGAGCGGGTGCCGCAAGAGGCCGCTCAGGGTGCTGCATCCTTGCAGCTGATCGATGGACTCGGTGCTTTCGATGAGGCAGGGCTCGATGCATTTGTCAGAGCCATTCGGCTAGCTGAATGCGGACTTTCATATGCCGTAGTGGCGATTATGGGTCCTCAAAGCAGTGGTACGGTTCTGCTCCGCATTTCCTTAGTTGTAATGTACATCACATCTTTTGGTGATCAGGTCCTCTGTGGCCCTTTGATAAGGACTGTCTCTGAGTTGCCTTTTTTAAATGTGAAAGTTTCATGCAGTAGCAGCCCACTGTGAATGTCTCAGGGTACGTTTTTTTGTTGGAAGCCTCTTGGATGGTGGAGTCCTGCACAGTACTTGTGGAAACGATCGTATTCAGTTGACGTTCTTGAATTCGAATTGTTATGTGTCTGAAATCCTTGTATCATGTCTGAAGTCACAGTCGCACTTGCGCTCGTTCTACCTTCTATTTCGCATCTATAGTTCGTAGCTTGTCTGAAGCAACATGTGAGGGTTGAAAAGCAGCGCTATCGCTAAAAGCGGATCCGGATGTAGGTTGGTCATGGGCTATTGCAACAGATTCAGTACGGCCATCATGTATTATATCATCTTATCTGCATAATATGAAGTAGATCGAAATCAATGTATGTCGTGCTGGCAGTTTTTATAAGCTCTGTAGCTTATGAAAGTCACAAGCACGCCTCTTCCTGGAAGATTGGTCATCGATTTCATTTAAGCAGCTTTCTTAGTGAGACCCGTATAATCAGAAGTGAACGTCTCGATAGTGGATGATCTTAGCGAATGTTACTCTGTATTTTGTGCAGGCAAAAGCACACTCCTTAATCATCTGTTCAGGACGTCGTTCAAGGAAATGGATGCATTTGCTGGAAGGTTTGTGATTTCATAACTTAAGCACTAACCCATGAGCGCAAAATGTACGCACATGTTGTCTGTAGAGTTAGTGCATATTGTTTTCGCCTGGTGGGGTGTACAGAGCAAGCATTTGATCTACATTTCTACGGCTCCCTCTCTCTCACATCTTTAAGATGGACCCTACTCGCAGGAGATTTTTAGTGATCACTCAGAAAGTTTAAGTATGAGAGAAGGTTCTTCAAACCTATGACAGCCTTACTTCCCTTCTGAGATCAAGGTTCGCGTGTCTATCGAGTGATCATACAGCCTGGAATTAATGTCTCATTCCATGATGGTGATGGTTACTTCAGCGGCAGTTGTTTGTACTCTGAGGGATTTGAAACATGTATTTACAATATCGTCGATGTGCCACTTGTTCAAGCTCACATTTGCTTCTAACAGGAGTCAAACAACTCAAGGTGTGTGGATCGCACGCGCAAAGGATATTGATCCTTGTACCATTGTTATGGATCTAGAAGGAACAGATGGACGAGAACGAGGAGAGGTATTTTGTGCGTCGTCAAGAATTTTTATTTCAAATTTTATCTGTTCAAAAACATTTAATCAGTGAAATAAACAATAATACCTGTATGGCCTGCATGTGTGTTGATGATTTTCTTGCTGTAGCCGAGAAGTAATCTGAGTACCCCGTCAAACTCTTGTGTGCATCAGAGAGAGGGTCCAGATAGGATACTTGTCAAGTGTATACTTGTACAACGTTTTATTCCTGACGAGGATCTCTGTTCAATTTGTGGCCTTTTAGAACTCCTGGGTTATTCTTAGTTTGCATTTTACATGTGTGCTACGCGTGTTAATTATCGTCGTTACCTCTGCTGTCTGTTCGTTTGTTGAAAGCTAGTTTTTGCTTCTTGATTATGAGCCGAGAAGAATGGGTGCTTTTGGCTGCACAAATTTTCAAGTCTCGCTTTAGCTGAATAAGTCGCCAGCAGTATGCTCCATCCGCCAAGAACTTGTTCTGGAAGTGAGCGTGGGTCTTAACTCAGGGAATTGGGTTTGTCATGTGTTCAGGATGATACTGCCTTCGAGAAACAGAGTGCTTTGTTTGCCCTGGCAGTATCGGATATTGTGCTGATCAATATGTAGGTCCTCGTACCCTTTCCCATTATATATATATCAATAAAGTACAAGCTGCACAAGCTACTTTGATCTGAGTTACGTCCGCGAAATTTTCACCCAGTAACCTCTTTCCTCTTTAATTGGAGTTCATATGTCTCACTCCCTTTCAGGTGGTGTCATGACATTGGCCGAGAGCAAGCTGCCAACAAGCCTCTTTTAAAGACCGTCTTTCAGGTTTGAATTCTTATCAAGTTCTGATGGGTTGAAGGCAACCCACTGCCTTTTTTTTTTAAAGATTATCATCACTTCAAAGCGCACCTTTCTGCGGGCTCTTGTATTCTAGACTTTGTGTTGTTCTTTGAAACCAGTTGCCAGACGTGTCTCTTATTTCAAGGTTGACGTCGTTCTCACTTGAAAATCACATTTTGGTATGAACACAGGTTATGATGCGCCTGTTTACACCCCGTAAAACGACACTTCTGTTTGTCATCAGAGATAAGACTCGGGTATAACTTTATTTCTTTTACCACTTGAGAAAATGTAGTTGATTATTGCGCAAGGAATGCGTCAGGAAATTAAAATCTGATATACTTGAGGATTCCATTAATTACCATCACGCCGCTGGCCTGAGATGAGCTCCTAAGTGACGGGTTGGATCCGTCTATCGAAAAAGAGCAACATCCGTACTTGTATATAGTTTTTTGATGTCTCTGTTTCATGGCTATAGGGTGATTCTCCCCTCTTGGGGTAACAATTATTCTTTGCCCGTCTGGAGTCAATGGAGTTGCAAATAGAAAGTGGCCTTCCCAAACTCTAGTTTGGTCAGATTGACAAATGTGGAAATTTGTCACGGTGCTAGTCTTTCAGCTTTGTTTACATACAATAAGATTTCGCGGATTCAATTCTAGTAGGAAAAGGCGCTGACAACGTTCTCGTCTTTTCAGACTCCCTTGTCCACACTTGAGCCTATTCTGCGAGGGGACGTCCAGAAGGTACCGTGGTGTTTCTCATGTTCCCACTTTATGTACCTCAAATGCCTTGTTTCGTCGTTGGTGTCGTCGCTCACGCTGAGCGCTGTCAGCGTGAGCGACGCTCTCGGCCAGCCGTCCTGATTCGATATTTTCTGCTTTTCTGTCTATCCTTGATTGTTGTATTGGCTGATTTCAACACTTACATTGCCTAGAGGTGAATGCAGACATTGGATCTGTGACTTGGATTTTCGTTACCTTTGCACTCCGCGAACCTAGTCTAGTTTTAGTACATACGCATCTTTTGTCGGTGAATGTTGTTTGAATGATTGTTTTTTCTACTTTTAGACTGTAACACCAATTTTTTGTGAGTCTTCCAGATATGGGAAAGTGCCCCCAAACCTCCGAAGTACGAAGGAACTCAGCTGAGTCAGTTTTTTACTGTAAGTCCAAATATTTTGTCACGTGAGGGGTCACGCGAAAAAACATATATATAACTTCTTGGAACCTGTACCTCAGTCAATTAATGATGTTCATAAGTCGAAGGTTATAGGGCTTTGTTCTCCTATTCGCGCTGGTCTTTGTTCAAATGCTGTCAATTCTCTTTAAAGACAGTATATCTTAGCCAGGGTTGTTTTCGGAAATTGTAATCCTTGACGGTTGATAATCTTTCTAACTTTAAGTAAGAGGTAAAGATTTGTCAGATCGGAACTCCGATCAAGACCTTTTATCCCAACATTAACCAATCAACCTGGATTCCAGGTGGAAGTTACAGCGCTCGCTAATTTCGAGGAGAAACCTGAACTATTCGAAGAGCAGGTATGATTTTTAACGACTATGTTGATTATTTCAGTATTCACTTCAATGCCACGAGTAGAACTCTCTCATGACTTTCGTCGTCTCAATGTTTAGCTCAGGAGCATTAATTGTATGGAAATAATTATTAAGAAACCTAACAAGCCGCACACATAGAGAACTTCGGAATGATGACCGGAGATTATAACTGATGGACTTAGGCAGTATAAAAGATTTCGAATCAACAAATCTAACAGGTAGAAAGATGTGGCAAGTAATGACACCATATGTGGATGTGAGGTTACTGGATGGGAGGTCTTGATGCACAAAACCGACGACTGTTGCATATTTTTCTTAGGTTGGTGAGTTGCGGGACCGATTCAACAACTCAATTCAGCCAGGTGGACTGGCAGGCGATCGAAGAGGAGTTGTTCCGGGATCAGGTTTCCGAATCAGTATCAGTGACATGTGGAAAATCATCAAGGAAAACAAAGATCTGGATCTGCCAGCACACAAGGTTTGTGTGTTGTGTTTTTCTCAGAGACATTTGCTCCTTCGACTAGAGTGCAAGTCTGTAGCTTGAACGCGAAGTCGGCTTAAAGGGTTAGTTCACAACCGCGTGAAGGTCATTCCAACAACAGCTCAGGTCTTGATTTTGTTCTCCTTCAAGACATCTCTAACTTGAGCTGCGCATGTGACTTACCCTTTTCTTTCTTTCTTGGTAGGTGATGGTTGCCACTGTTCGGTGTGAGGAGATTGCACATGAGAAGCTGAGTGCCTTATTGGCAGATCCGGTACCGTACAAAAATTTCGGTTTCTATTTTATTTATTTTCGTATCTCGAAAACCATAGGGGCATTGCATAAGGACAACGTTACCTAGGATACTTTCGAGCACATCTGTTGAGTTACTTTACGGCTATATGTTTGTGACTTGCTTGTTTGTTACAGGATTGGCATGATTTGGACGAAGGTGCGAGGAAAGGCCTAGTCCCCGGCTTTGGGAAGAGATTGAGTGCTCTTTTGCACAGGCATCTATCAGGGTACGTCTCAGCTTTGCCAACCGCCAGCACTACTCTAAAATACATTAGGGCTCTCTAGATTTATTATAAGTTTAATCATATCCCAATTACGAGACCTTTTTCTCAAGTAACCTTTCGTGTTTCTCTTGTCTTTAACCCTCTACCAAGTCACGCAGTCTCTTATTACCAGCACTGGTTGGAGTTTAAGTCATGGAAATTTTATAGAAATGGGAGAAGCTGTCGGGCAATTCAAACATTGCTGTAAGTTACACAATCGATAGGAGAACCTGGAACTCCCTCAGCCAGTGGGTAGAGTCTATGGTCCTCAACGTAGGATAGGATATACTGATCAATATAGCTCTCTCCAAACTCAACATAACCAAAATTTCTGTCTTCCTATCTTGGAAGGGGTAAAAGGACTTGCTATATCATCATCACTATATTGTTCATGCACTACATAGTCTGTGCACGGCGGTTCCAGTTCTCATGGTATTCATGATGATGAAACTTGGTGAGTCTTAGAGACTTATAGTTTTTGAGCTAATTGCAGTGATATCTGTCCTGAATGTTTTTTAATTAGGGGTGTCCGCTTATCGAACTGAAGTTGTTTCATACAGGTATGACGACGAAGCAGCATATTTTGATGATAGTGTAAGGACAGCCAAGCGCAATTATCTGGTGACAAAAGTTTTAGATGTGAGTTTTTTATCCATGCCCAGAATCTTTTATCGTTTATGGCTTCCATAAAGTAATTATATCTTCCTCTCACAAAAGTAGGAGCGTTTTAAAGCTTAATTATGAACGAGAGCGGAGGGGCGTAATTTACAATGTTCGTCTGTCTGACTCCCGATCAGTGCGTATTTGTCATGTTAAAGAGCTTAGAGCATTACACCTCTTATCTAGGTAGATACAAACCCGCGAGATCTCGTCCCAGTTTTATGCATTATGGTCCCAATAACTAATGGGAAAAAAAGTTGCCGAGATGTTCATGTTTTTTGGTAACTGTTGGTAAAAAAAAGAAGACTCAAGACTTCAAGCCTGGGCTGAAGATGGGCTATTGTTTTCAAGCAGATTTCTTTTTAAATAGCAAGTCAACTTTTTCAGCTGACCGGTAATTTTTATTGCCTGTTTTCGTTCAGACGGTTCAACCTGCATATCAAGCAGTTGTATCGAATCTTCGTAACGAAGCCTTCAATAAGTTCAAGCAAGAGATGAAAGTTTGGGCAGAGCGTCCTGTTGGAGAGGAAGGCTTTGCAGTTGCGGTCCGTAGGTGCTCCGAGCAAGCTTTGTCAGACTTTGATAAGGGTTGTTCAGGTAAGTTAGGCCTCTGCTATGTTTAGTCCTGTTAAATTATTTCGGGTTTTCAGAAGTTTAACATCACTCTGATCTTTTTGTGGTTTTTTGGTCTTTGATAAATTCTAATAGACCAACCTTCTCTGAAGAGTACTATGATGGAAAAGCATCTGAAGCATCTTACTGTAGCCCGTGTTATATTTCGTGGTATGCAGATTCTTACGTTTCCCAAGCCCATTGGGACAACGGAAAGCTTCGTGAAAAGCTTCATCGAGACATTGATGCACATGCTCAGACAGTCAGAGCTGAGAAAATTGCTGCCATTGTAGCTTCTGTCGAGGTGAGAACTGAAGACAGTAAGGCAGTGGCCTGCTTCACTATTGGGTTGATTTTTACTAGAGTTGAATAATGACTTCCATTCACCGCAAGTTTGTTTGTGTTCTTCATTTTGCAGAAGCGGGTTGAGGACGCTCTTACGGAATCCGCTGGAGCTCTATTAGATGCCGCGTCTCCAGATACGTGGTTATCTCTTAAGAGGCTTCTTACACACGAAACCGATATTGCGAAGGCAGCTCTGTTGTCAGATATTGCAGGTTTTGAGCCGGATGAAACAGAAAAAGCAACTATGTTGGATGGCTTAACTTCGTTTTCAAGAGGAGTGGTGGAGCGACAGGCGAGGAAGGAAGCTTCACAGGCACTGCTACGTATGAAAGATAGGTGTGTTTTATACCTCTCAGGTTTTTATTTTAACAGCATGACTACTTGAGTTGGCAGTTTCAACTACAACAAAGCAGTTTATATGTACTGGGATCGTTTTCGTGCTTTGTTTCATATCAGGTTCACCCTTTGTTGGTTTTCCTTCGTGTGTCTCCTGGTTGTGTATTCTATTCAATAGCCTTGAATATAACACGAACGATTGCAAAGACTTATGTTCTGTCTTGGTATGTAGGTTTACGACAAGTTTTAGCCATGATGCAGAGTCACTACCCAGACTTTGGTCTGAAAAAGATGATATCCGGGCTATCGCCAAAGAAGCTCGGTCAATGGTACTGATGATTCTTACCCCTGATCTCCGGGATTTGACTTTGAGCGTTCTGTCAACGCTCAAGTGTATTTTCCAGTCCGAATAGAATGAGGGTTACACCCATTCAAAGCGTGGATCTGAACATGAGAGTTTATCAAGTACCATAATAACAGGCAATTCTTCGTTTTTGTCGTGCAGTCTCTTAAAGGACTATCTATTCTGGCTGCAATACGGCTTGATGACGATATACATGATCGGATCGAGCCAGCACTGAGCTCCTTATTGGACCCTCCCAGTCAAGAGGCTATCAAGTCCAAAGAGTTTTCCTCAGATGGAGATAGTTCTTCTATATTGGTTTCGAATCCACTCGCCGCAAGCTCTTGGGATGGGGTTTGTATTCGATCGCCCTTCTTATTTTGGGCACTCGTCTTCTTTGGGTTTCGTATGTGGTACATTCAAATGTGAGCTTGTATATGAGATCTTAGCTTGCAATTGTTGGAGAGCTGCATAAAGCAATACTGACCAGTCAATTATTGTCCAAATCACCTTCTTCTAATTCTTAAAACCAGTCGCAACTGAAACCTCTGACTTGTTTGATAGACCACGAACTTGGAACTGATTGTTTATCCTGACATGTCGTTGATGTTCATTAGGTTCCGCAAGGGAATACTCTCTTATCGCCCGTGCAGTGTAAAAATATATGGCGACAATTTAAAGCTGAGACCGATTACACAATTAGTCAAGCTTTAGCAGCGCAGGTATGATCATAGCCTAATCGTTGAGTATGTTTCATGCAAGTACTGCACATGCATTCCCTTTCTTCTAAACATGTTTCTCTTATTTTACTTTTCGTACACTTTATGCTCTGGATTGTTTCTAATGTCTTTCCTCTTTATTTCAACTCACTTATTGCTTCTCTTCTGCCTACTCTGTGTATACTTGCCTTACAATCTGTTGACCTCTTCATACTGAAGAGGTCAACAGAGTTGTTTTCTATGCCATTTTTCGGGAAACCTTCTTTATTGCCTCATATTTCCATTGCACCGGCTATGCCTTAAGATAGAGCCCATATGGTTGTACCTCCCCGGTCGATACTCTTCGGTCTCCCTGCTTGTAGAGCCCTTGCAGGTGATCACTTGTACCATATCACAAGATAACGGATACTGATTCTTCATGCTCGCTTGCAATCATAGGAGGCGCACAAGAACTCATCATCGTGGTTACCTCCACCATGGGCGATTGCCGCGATCGTGGTCCTGGGCTTCAATGAATTTATGGCACTTCTCAGGTATAATTCCTCTGTGTCACGACTGCGGAGTTTTATAGTCGGAAATGTAAAAGGTCGGTCTAAAACTTGTCTGTTTGCTGCAGGAACCCATTGTATCTCTTGATATTCTTCGTAGTGTATCTTCTTGGAAAGGCTCTCTGGGTTCAACTTGACATCGCCGCCGAGTTTCGCCATGGCTTTGTAAGTTGGTGTAGTTTAACTACAATTGTGCACATTCTCCCTTTCTCCAAGATTTTGATTCTTGAAATTGTAACTCTGTATTACAGTAATGTTCTGTGCATGAGGGTTGTGTATTAGTTCAATTTATGCTGACAATGTTATGTCCAACAGGTCGCTGGAATTTTGAGCCTTTCAACCAAGCTTCTCCCCACGGTAATGAGCATGTTAACAAAACTTGCACAAGAAGGATCCAAAGCGGCAGGAGTGGGGAACAGTAACAGCGACAGTACTGGGCGAAGCAACCGATTCCAGGAGTATGATATGCAAGATTTTTCGCAGAATTCTCCTTCTGAAAACAGCACTAGTCAGGGATCGTCTCATGGTGGATCAAGTGTCAGAAATAGGCAGCACAAAAATGTTGCACAATCAGCCTCTTAATGCAGTTTTCGGCTGGGCGGCTGGTCTCATTTGGTCATCTTTGTAAAATTTATTGGAAAGTACTCCACTCTCTTGTACAAGTTTTTTCACTTCTGCGTTTTTTTCCTGATTAATTTGTTCGTCAGGTCTTCCTGAATTCCTTCTTCTCGAAACACATGTTTGTAATGACAGACGTCGGTTTTGTGCTGAAGAGGTTGTCCTTTTTTTGAGGTTCTGCCGTTGTAGCCTTGGCTGGAGTCTGTCGGATCGTTACAAGGTTGGCCTATTGCTCAACGGTTGGCTGGGTAACTGCTTAAGAAGGATTGTCGAGGATTTATTGCCCTAGTATTGATATCCGAACCTGTGAGCAGATAAAGTGGAAATTTACCCGGTCGTAGATTTAACAATCGAATTATTGTGTGCCGAAACTGAACGCGTTTATCGATATGTCTGGCCTCACATCCATTTTCTGCCCGTGGACATTGGTTGATGTCTTCAGTAAAGCACTCTGTTAATCCTTAGCTCAATACTTCAGTGCATTGGTAATCTTGTATTGCATGCTGGAGCATGCGTTGTACTTTGTGCTAACTTCATACTGTACACAACCTATTTTTACTCAAAGTCAGTGGAAGTATGCTGTCAGACAACATACTTTGTATTACGGTTTTGGAACGAAGTATGTTGTAAAAACAACGGAGGTCTCTTTGGGCTTTGGTGTCTGGTTGTAATCTGACTATTGTTTGTGATTCTCATCGATGCCAATGAGGCAGCGCCAAATGAACATATGATCGTGTACCACTCACGTTATTATTGTATCTCCAGTAGCTATATTAAGACACGAAGCATTAAAACCACTTTTCGAAAACCATGTCATAAATTAAATAACAAGTACAGTACATTGAATTGCAAATTGGAAAACTGTGAGTGGAGTTTGTGTCACATATCGCTTTGCTTATTTCCTGTGTCAAATATGCCAAATTTGTTTAGGGCTAATTGACACATTCTGCTATCAAGAAACCCTACTGGTGTCAATTGGTTTAGCATAAGTGCTACAGCTGTTAATTACATGTCAAACGAGGGATAATTTCTTTTATGGATTCGATCACAGCAGTAGAAATATGGATTGTCTCTGGATTTGTCCGTACATGATGCTCTCGGTAATGGCTTGAATGTCTTAACACTTTTCCCTTTTCTGATCAGCGATTGTACGTGGTTATACAGTCGACGTTGGGTCGATAATTGTAGCAAGCTACACACTCGTAGTGGTTCCCCTATCCATCTAACTATCAGGATGATCTACAAAGTACAACTGAAAATTACTTTTAAGCTTTTTAACGTACCATCCACAAATCTCAAGTTTAGTTCAGTAGTTTTGTTGGAATAAGAGAAGAAGGTACCTACATGTGTTCCAAACATTGTATAATGGAGAGATAATTATTTGATGGGACCGTGGGGAATTCAAATTACTCGATTCGATCCAACCTCTTTCATTTTAACCGATAGTAGTCTATCAAGAGATTTTATCAAGACAGTTTCATCGTCAGCAATGTTCCAATAAAAGTTTTTTAAAAATGATAGCTTTAGGTATAATGTGGAGAGTGTCTGCCACTATTGGGCCAAAGTAGTCTCCCGTGAGAGTAATTTTGCCACTAGTTCGCAGAGTGTCTGAGAAAGGGAAGGGCACTCCCGATAGGGTCTTGCCATACCTGCATCCGAAAACCCCGGAGAGGTTAACCCCCAAATCTTACTGGAACATTGCTGACGGTGGTAAAATGAAACCTGTTAGGAAACATCAACTTTGTTACTTTTACTTGGGTCCAATTAGCTAATTTCCTCTATAATGGATGGATCCATCAGTTGGATGTCAATTCTGATATTTGGCAATGCATTTGAACTTCTTGATTGCAATGCTTTTTTATACCTTTATACGTTGTATTATTATTATTCTTTGAATATCTAAGATTTTCCACCAAATCTAATAACTTTTACAACGAATTTCATAACATTTAGTTGGATATATCAAAAATAGTTAATTCTAGTTTAAGTAAAAATAAATTTTTTGATTTATGCAACTAATTGTGAAATTATGTGATTTTATCTTGTTGCATCAGTCAAAACAAACAGAATATTTACCATTTCAAGTTATTAATCATATACAAAGAAATATTCATGTACTATATTTGATCATTGCTTCATAACACACTCCTTGTAACTTAAAATCTTCTTCTTTTTACTTAACAATCACTCTTAATTTCCAATTTTTTTAAGAAAATGATATTTTATAGTTTGAAATGAAATAAAATGGATTCAAAATAATTCTCTTGATGGTATAATTTCTTTTGAAGTTTCAATTTTTTCAATTTTGAGTAAATATGTATTTGCACAAAATGAACGTAATTGCCATTTAAATTCTCATTATTATCAATTCTTTCAAGTTCAGAAGAGATCTGCATTGAAAACTAGACATGATTTTCTATATTATATATATATATATATATATTCATATATGCATATGCAAATAGATTTTTATAAGCAAAAATAGATGACATATTCTTATGTAATCAAGTGAATCAATTATTCACTTAAGATTTCAAAAGTCAAAGATTTCATGAGTTAAGGTATTTATTGAATAAAAAATTATTATTTTCGTACAAAAAATTTCACAAAAAAATAGTTTTTGCCACCAAAAAATGTATTCTCTAAATTTTTTAATCATAATTAGTTTAAAATGGTTATGAATAACGTAATAATTGTTAATTTTTTGAATAATTTTGGAACAAATAAATATATAATCTATTTGACTTATAATTTATTGCAAGAAGTGAATATTTTTCATACTCAACCTACTCACAAGCACAAACTTTCACTCAATTATATTGTTAAAGTGAATATTGATCATCATGATTTAAATTATGTTGAATTTCAAAAAAACCTCAAGTTTATTTAATCTAAGCATTAGAATGCTATAGTTTTTTTCTCATTTATTAAAACACAAATTTAAATGATCAAAATTATTCAATATTTCAACTAGAAAACTACAATTAGAGTAGTAATTTCATATTTATTAATGATTACATGATTATAATGCATTGATATTGATTCTTTAAAAAATTTCTAAACATATTTTAAAAACTGAAATATAAAAAATTTTAAAGAGTAAAAAATGTAACTACCATCTAGTGACAATATTTACAAGCTAATGAATTTTTACAAAAATTATTCTTTGTTACATAACATTGGATGTATAAGTTGAAAATTAATACAATTATTGCCGAGAAAAATCTGCAAGTCAAATTGATTCCTAAGTAATTTAGACACAAAGAAAGATGAACTCTTGAATAACATTTTCTTTTCACATATGTAGAATATAATTTTCACACACACACACACACAGATATATATATATATATATATATATATATATATATGTGATGTGTATATTTATTGGGTGGGATATTTGTTTCAGCTAAGGTTAAAAAAATATTGTGAAAACACTTTTTGATAATTTATAAATTTGCATAAGATTACCAATTCGTTTTGACAGAGTTAAACCTCCCAATAGTGTCATCTATTATGGGTGACACCCTCTCATTTGTGACGTAAAATTCTAGAGCCATTAGTTTGTAACTTCTAAATTTGCTCAATAAGAATAGAAGGTCACTATTGCCAATAGTGAGTCACCATTGGCAGTGTTCCCCACGGTCCGTCCAGGACTACAGACTGGACTATCAGGACTGCGTAGTCCAGTCCAGTCGGCAGGTTTGATGGACTAGCGTAGAACTGTGCAGTCCAATCTGGAAGCGCCGTGATCCAGTTCGACTATGTTCGACTGCGGCGCGGGTTGGTTTTTTTTGAGGCGCGTTGGAGGGTCGATGTAATAACCCACTAAAGGCTAAAACTGCAATATAGTGGTAGAAAGGTCGAACCCACAGGGACAGAGGAACACACAGGGTACAAAGTGTCACATTTAACAGACTATTGAGGAGTTTGAATTCTCAGGCGACTGTCACTCCTAGAAATACTGCAAGTGTTCACTCCTAGCTCACTCGGAGGTCGCACAGTGCAGCGTACAACACACACACACACACACACACCTGAAACTACAGAAACACAACCCAGAGATCGGTTAGGACCTCTACTTAAGATTTCAGGGGGGAAAGTCTCTCTCGAGTACACACAGCGAATCTGCGGGTAGTGACTCCCAACTCCGGCTTTTACAACCCTTCCACTTGCCTTCTGCTAGAGTGGGAAACCCGGGTTGGACTTCCTACTTCGGATCGAAGTCACTCACACGCGGTGAACAACACTCTCAACTCACAAAACGCGCAGAGAACACAGGTCCGCACGGAGGGACTCAACTGAGAAACAATCTAGTAGCACACCATAACAGTCTATTGAAGAGTTTGAATTCTTAGGCACTTGTCATTCCCAGAAATACTACAGGGGTTACCCTGAAGGCACCTACTGCAACGTAACCTGAATTTACAACCAAGGCTTACACGAAGTAGCAAAACTTCACTTTGGCATTCAGGGGAAAAATCCCGAAGGAGTACAATCAGGAACAAACACTCGAAGGTGTAGGGGCGAAACTATTCAAGTATCTAACTAGTCACTGGCTCTGAGCATCGGCAATCACCCGCAGGTGTAGATCCGAACTACTCAAGTCTCTAACCAGTGTGCTAGCTCTGAACCTTCGGCCGAAGGCCTTCAGCTACACAATGCGGACCGCCAAGGTGTAGCTCCTCTTGCGTGGTGACAGAACTAAGGACACAAACACGCAGAGAAAATGAGTTCCTGACCTGCACTTCCAAAACTAGAAAAATCCCAAGGCAAGACGCCTTGAATTACTTTATACCTTCTAAGTCCTAACTAGCACTACACTGCACTACGCTACACGCCTGCACGGAACCACGCTACACTACACTCCGTAGAACCTGTGCTTCGCCTCCTGCGCGACGGACTGCCGCGCACTAACTCCCTACCCTGCCAGTCCTTAGCTTGACTGCGCAGTCCCAATCGCCGCAACACCGCGGAAACCTCCGACTCGAGAGTGGACATGGTGTCCCGCGATCGCGACAGAAAAGAGTCCAGCTTCTTTGCCACTCGCC